CACACACACTCACACACACACACTCACACTCACACACAGTCACACACACACTCACACTCTCACACACACACACACACACTGCATGAACGTTTCATTATGTGTCATAATGGAGCTCAGCTCATTGCATGATGATCATGATGAAGTCTAATCACAGAAAACACGTGTGTTTGGAGTCAAATACAGCCGTGTGCACGTGATGAGGCTTAAAGGAACAGTTCACCCACAAATGAACGTGTTGAAAAAGTGCTCATCCTCAGGTCTATTCGAGATCAGGATGAGTTTGTGTCTTCATCAGGTTTGTAGAAATGTAGCACTGCATCAGTGTCTCAGCAATGGATGCTCTGCAGTGAATGGGTGCCGTCAGAATGAGAGTCCAAACAGCTGATAAAAACATCACAAGTAATCCACAGCACTCCAGTCCATCAGTTAACATCTGGAGAAGACAAAAGCTGAAACACATATAATCCATAATAAGGCTTCCTCCAGTGAAAAAGTGTTCTGGTGTGAATCAGGAGAGAAATCTGCACAGATCAAGCAGTGTTTAAACAGCTCTAAACACATATGTGGCTGGATTTTGATGTGAGAGACAACAGCAGATGCGCTTTTTCACTGGAGGAAGAGTTATTATGGATTATGGACTCATATTTTAGTTAAAAACGTCTTAATGCTGGATTAGTTTCAGCTTTTGTCTTCTCCAGATGTTAACTGCTGGACAGGAGTGCTGTGGATTATTGTGATGTTTTTATCAGCTGTTTGGACTCTCGTTCTGACGGCACCCATTCACTGCAGAGCATCCATTGCTGAGACACTGATGCGATGCTACATTTCTACAAACCTGATGAAGAAACAAACTCATCCTGATCTTGGATGTCCTCAGGGTGAGCATGTTTCAGCACATGTTAATTTGTGGGTGAACTATTTCTTTAATATATCGGACATAAGTCTATTTATTCTTTAAGTAATGTTTTGCATGTAAATGTGTGTCTGTATTCTCACACACACAGCCTTTCAAACCCTCTCACTGACGAGTGACTCGTTAATAATCAGTGTTCAGTGTTAATCGTTGTCATTGTTTCTGGTGTCAGTCGATCTGTCAGATGTTCAGCTCAGTCAGAATGAATCTGATTCTGCTTCGGGCCGGTCGTTCTGGGTCACAATCGACCGTCACAAACCAGATAGAGACAAACACACACATGACAGAGTTTGGGTGAGTTTTATAGCAAAGATGTAACCAAATAGTCAAGATAGTTAGCGATGAAGTCTAAAAATGTAAGAATTCAAGTAACATTTCTGAATATTGGCAGAACGTGTCGCGTCAGTCTCTGCTGGTCGATTTCTTTGAAACCTTCAGTAGTTTAAAATCAACATATTTCGGTAAAACTTTAATTTGTTAACTTTTCAATGCATTAACTAATATTAATGTGTAGTAGATTTGTTACAGTATTTATTCATCTTTGTTATTTAATAACAAAATGCAACTGTTCATTGTTAGTTTATGTCAGCTGAGGCTGGTTTAACTGGATTCGGTGAATGTGGCCGCAGTCGTGAAGCTCTTCTGCCGATATTCACACACAGATGATGTTCATGTCATCTATCATCTCATGTAGTGGTTAAACAGATTAACAGCAGACACACAGCCTGTTCAGCTGATGCTTTTCAGAAGTATTTCAGATCTGGCGCCGGTTCATTGGGTTTCAATAGCATTACACATGTGAGATTGTGAATGCAGTGATGAATAGCGATAATGACACAAAGTACACAAACACATGACAACATCACAGTATCTCTCTCTGTTCCTCTCAGGCCAAAAGTGTTTGGCTTCCACTCATTCATTTAGAAACCACACGTTTGTTTGTGCTTGACTGTGTGATGATGATTGGCACCTCTCTAATCCAATGGGTGGTCAGGATTCAGAGGGGGTGGAGATCATGTTGGGCGTGTGTTCCTCCGGGCTCCTCATCTACCGCGACAGACTTCGCATCAACCGCTTCGCCTGGCCCAAAGTCCTCAAGATCTCCTACAAACGCAATAACTTCTACATCAAGATCCGTCCAGGCGAGGTGAGAACACCATCACGCCTTCTCCAGGGGACCTTCACAGTTTTGGTGAAGTTTGCTGACAAGAGAACGTTTGTTTGTCTCTAGTATGAGCAGTTTGAAAGCACGATAGGCTTTAAACTACCCAACCACAGAGCGGCCAAGAGACTGTGGAAGGTTTGTGTGGAGCATCACACGTTCTTCAGGTCTGTAGAGGTTCTTCTGTATGTTTGCTGTGTTCTGTGCTCAGTGGTAATCATGGTTTGCATCTCGACAGGTTGGTTTCTCCAGAGATTACGCCTAAGAAGTTCCTCACACTGGGTTCTAAGTTCCGCTACAGCGGCAGAACTCAGGCTCAGACCCGACGGGCCAGTTCCCAGATCGTCCGTCCGGCGCCGTACTTCGAGCGTTCGACCAGCAAGCGCTACACGATGTCACGGAGTCTGGATGGAGGTTTGTTTGCTTTTGTTTCTCTTTCCAAGTGCATTATGGGATAATCTTTTTAAATTATGGGATGATCTCGACAGGGATGATCTATCTATCTATCTATCTATCTATCTATCTATCTATCTATCTATCTATCTATCTATCTATCTATCTCTGTCTGTCGTCTGTATAATTGTCTGTCGTCTGTCTTTCGTCTCTCTGTTTGTCTGTCTGTCTGTATGTTTGTCTGTCGTCTGTCTGTCTGTCAGTATGTATGTTTGTCTCTGTCTGTCGTCTGTCTGTATGTTTGTCTGTCGTCTGTCTGTCAGTATGTATGTTTGTCTGTCTGTCTGTCTGTCGTCTGTATGTTTGTCTGTCTTTCTGTCGTTTGTCTGTATGTTTGTCTGTCGTCTGTCTGTCAGTATGTATGTTTGTCTGTCTGTCTGTCTGTCGTCTGTATGTTTGTCTGTCTTTCTGTCGTTTGTCTGTATGTTTGTCTGTCGTCTGTCTGTCAGTATGTATATTTGTCTGTCTGTCTGTGTTTGTCTGTCGTCTGTCTGTATGTATGTTTGTCTGTCGTCTGTCTGTCAGTATGTATGTTTGTCTGTCGTCTGTCTGTCAGTATGTATGTTTGTCTGTCGTCTGTCTGTCGTCTGTATGTTTGTCTGTCTTTCTGTATGTTTGTCTGTTGTCTGTCTGTCAGTATGTTTGTCTGTCTGTCTGTCGTTTGTCTGTATGTTTGTCTGTCGTCTGTCTGTCAGTATGTATGTTTGTCTGTCTGTCTGTGTTTGTCTGTCGCCTGTCTCTATGTATGTTTGTCTGTCTTCTGTCTGTCTGTATGTATGTTTGTCTGTCTGTCTGTATGTTTGTCTGTCGTCTGTCTGTAAGTATGTATGTCTGTCGTCTGCCTGTCTGTCTGTATGTATGTATGTTTGTCTGTCTGTCTGTATGTTTGTCTGTCGTCTGTCTGTAAGTATGTATGTCTGCCTGTCTGTATGTTTGTTTGTCTGTCGTCTGTCTGTCTGTCTGTCTGTCTGTATGTATGTATGTTTGTCTGTCTGTCTGTATGTCTGTCGTCTGTCTGTAAGTATGTATGTCTGTCGTCTGTCTGTCTGTATGTCTGTTTGTCTCTATCTATCTGTCTGTCTGTCTGTCTGTCTGTCTCTCTGTCTGTCTATCATTTTATCGTTCTATCTGTCTATCATTTTATCGTTCTATCTGTCTATCCGTAGATATGTCATTATCTCATTGAGTCTCACTGGAGTTTGAGTGTCTGTCATCTGCTTTGCTTCATGTCCTGTTTGCTCTCCTCATCCTCAGTATCAGTCATTAGCAGACGTCTGTTTTCTCTGAACAGCCCAGTTTTATTTTCTGTTCCCGTTATGAAAGTGTTTGCAGACAGAAGCGAGGCTCGCAGCAGGACAGGGATTTTCGGCTCATTAACCTGTAATCTCGGCTCCTGGGGCCTGGAACGAGTTTGTTTCATTTCCTGCTTTTGGTTTAATTGGAGAATTTCTGTTGTGTTGCAGCATAAATCCGGCGGTCTCAGAGCGCATTACTGAATACTAACACACGTGATTCGTAGTATGAATGAACAGGCTGGGTGTGTTCAGTGTAGAGAGTCTGCTGCATCTGTAATTATCTTCTGGTTAAACGTCTGATTAAATTAATCCAACATCATCACGATGGGTTTATTTACTTTAAGGTGAAAGGTTTTAAAGTTACTCTCTTGTTTTTTGACTAATAGTTAGAGAATACTTGTTATCTAGATAATAACTGGCTCAAGTGTTTGGTACAGTGGCCTTATAAAGTTTTTGGCCTTTTCAGTCACACACATAAATCTGAATATCACTGCATCAGATATAAAATATCAATGCAAGTAAAACACACTTAATCAGAAAATGTCCCAAACAATAGTTTGTTGTGTTTGAACTGCTAAACCATTAGATGTAGCGCTGAAGATGAAGATAATATAATTAATGAAGATAATTAATGGGATTCTCTATCTCTGGTTCCTCTGAACTTCATGCATCCACTAAAAATCATCAAAACACCAGATCATTCAAACCAGTGTTATTTATTATTTTTTATTTTTTATGTTTTGAATTAGTTTTTATTTTTATGTTTTCCATTTCAATTTTCGTTAATGTTTTATAACATTTGTTGTTTTTAGTTTTTTATTATTTTGTATTTTTTAAACCATGTCTTTAATTTTTAATACATTTTAATTTCAGTTTTAGTTGTTTAGTACATTAAGTTACAATAAAAGGAGAAATGTTGCTTTGGCAACTAGCTGAAATAAAATAACTTTAAGGTTTTTAAAAATAATACACGTTCATAATTTTATTTCAGTTGACATTTAGTTTGTTTCACGTTGTTTGTTATGGGTTTAGGTTTAGTTTTAGTTTACTATAATAGCCCTGATTCAAACACATTGAAGAAGACGAACGATCCTGCACTTGATCTGATGAAGGAATTCAGACTTTTATAAACGTGACTGAGGAGAACAGACACTTTCAGGTCACTGTATGTTTTTGCATGTGATCTAGTCTGACGTGTGCGTCAGTGTCTGTGATACTGTGTTTGCTCAGACGTGTGTGTGTGTGTGTGTGTGTGTGTGTGTGTGAATCTCCTCAGCTCAGCGGACGCCAGTCAACACGGCGACAGTCAATGTAAATGGCACTAGACCAGCAGGTAGAGACGTTTCTCTGTATCCCTGACGCTTGTAGATACAGAAGCCCCTCCGTCTGCTTGTTTGATCCTGATAGTTTGAGGTTGCGTGTGCATGCGGCAGGCATGCGCTGGTGCTCTAGCGCTTCTGCTTCAGATGCCTTTGATTTTGCACATGCTGTTGCTGCGTCAGTGTTTTTTTTACAATCATATACTAATGCTTTTAATAATATTATTTTGAATTTGTTTTAATTTTATATTTCACATTTTCATTTTAAATTTAGTTAAAGTTTTAGTACTTTTGTTGTGTATATGTTGATGTAGGTTTTATTCATTTTAGGGTTAGGGTTAGTTATTATTCGGCTAAAATAAGTGAAAATGAGAAATGTTGCTCATTAAAAATGTGTTATTTATTTTTAATATGAATATTTTATTAATAATTATATTTAATTATTTCATATCATTTATATTAATAATAACAACTCATGTGTATTGATAATTATTTTATCAATAATTTTTGTGATTATTTTTTTATAGTTTTTTTTATTTTTTTTATTAATCATTTTATTAAGTTAGTTAACTATAATAACTCTGGTCTGTGTCCGTCACTGTCAGAGGGCTGTGTCTGTGAATGTCTCCAGAGGCTGGTTAAAATAAACCGAAATGTTTGATCTTTCAGGGTTTTATGAGTCTGTATCTGTTCTCACGGAAACATCATCATGTGTGCATCATTGTTGTTGTTTATTGATTCATGCAAGGTTCAATATTACTGGCATAAATGAGGAAAACTAGCACTGCATCACTTAACCAGCATCATATTCAAACGCAGTTCTTCTGTAGAAATCACTCAGTATTGTACTGTGGTACAATCAGCAGTAATTACGGCTTCTTTAGAGCTTTTAGAGCAACAAACACTGAATCACAGTGAATTCATCACGATCACGTCTTAGACACGTTACAATGATTTCTTTTGCAAACTTTGTGGTAAAAATTGACTTTGAAAAGTTCCAGACATTAAAAGCACCATATCCAGAAACATTTCATTTATATTCCCTGAGATCTGCTTAGTCATGCTTTTATTGTCATTCTGCATGTTTAAGTGCGCGTCAGTGTGATGTTAGTCAGGGTTTATTGCACCAGAAACAGTCTTTTCGTTTTTGGTAACTTTTCGTTACCCAGCTTCTCTTTGGTGATTATAATTAAACTAGTTCTCATAAACGACCTCTGTAATGACTGACTAACCTCTTCACATGTGACTGAATGGATGTGCTGTGTGCGTGTGTGTGTGTGTGTTTGTTGGGGTTTGTGTGTGTGTGTCTGTGTTTGTTGTCATAATGAACTGAGTTTATGCTTAATTAATACATCACAACCATAAAGATTCATGATGCCATAGTAAATGTACAGAATAAAATAATTCTGCAGTCTTAACTCAGTAATATAATGCAGACAGTGTTCACTCTGAAAGCAGATGCAGTACTGACACTGTGTGTGTGTGTGTGTGTGTGTGTGTGTAGAAATGGGTACGGCGTTGTATGGCACAGCCAAAGGCATTGCCATAAGTGACCTCATCACCACGGTAACGCCGGAGAAGAAAGTGGAGGAGATGCGTGAGGAGGAGCGTGAGGAGACGCGACCGGTGCTGGTGGAGAGTGTGGTGGTGCTGGAGGAAGAGGACGAGATAACGAAAGCCACGGAACTGTCGCTGCCGAGCCCACTGACACCGGCCCGACAGGACACACGGGTAAACTAACCACAGGACACATGGGCAAACTAACCCTGACTAACCCACCGACACCGGCCCGACAGGGCACATGGGTTAACTAACACTAACTAACCCACCGACACCGGCCCGACAGGACACATGGCTAAATAACCCTGACTAATACTAACTAACCCACCGACACCGGCCTGACAGGACACATGGGTAAACTAACCCTGACTAACCCACCGACACCGGCCCGACAGGGCACATGGGCAAACTAACCCTAACTAACCCACCGACACCGGCCCGACAGGACACACGGGTAAACTAACCATAACTAACCCACCGACACCGGCCCGACAGGACACATGGGTAAACTAACACTAACTAACCCACTGACACTGGCCCGACAGGACACATGGGTAAACTAACACTAACTAACCCACCGACACCGGCCCGACAGGACACATGGGTAAACTAACCCTGACTAACCCACCGACACCGGCCCGACAGGACACATGGGTAAACTAACCCTGACTAACCCACCGACACCGGCCCGACAGGACACATGGGTAAACTAACACTAACTAACCCTAACTAACTCACTTAAAGCTTGATTTGAAGCACAGCTCAGGTGTTTGATCAAACATCATCATCAATAACAGCTCATAACTAACATATGAGGAAGATAGGATGCCAGGAGTTCATATTGTGATCAGTCTTTGGAAATCATGCATGTTTTAGCTCAAATTATTTAGTTTGTAGACAAATAGACACATTTTTTAAAAGAAATTAACACTTTTATTCATCGAGGACGCATTAAATTGATCAAAAGTGACAGTAAAGACATTTATAATGTTTCAAAAGATTTCTGTTTCAGATAAATGCTGTTCTTTCAAACTTTCTATTCACCTGTGAGTCCTGAAAAATAAAATGTATCACGGTTTCCACAAAAATATCGGGCAGCACGGTTAATGTCAATGTTTTTCTTGACTCTCTGTTCATTCCTCTAATGGCGATTGAATGAGCTGATGTCTATAAACTCATCAGCTATCAGCTCATTCCATGCAGGAAACCATGGTAACATTACCGTGTTTTACCGTGTTCTGCTTCTCTCTCTGTTCATGCTTTCTCTGGATCAGACTGATTTCACAGACACTGCTGTCGATGGAGAATTAACGGCCACCGAGGTTTGTGATCTGAGCTCGTTTCTCATCTGACCTCACATAATAACGACAGACGTGATCAGATCTCTGATGTCAGACTGAAGACTCGTGCATGGCAGAAAAAACATGAATGCAATGAACGATTACAGTAATTAGATTGCTAATTAAGATACGGCAGAGCTGTTGATGCTCTTATAACTAACCCACCGACACCGGCCCGACAGGACACATGGGTAAACTAACACTAACTAACCCACCGACACCGGCCCGACAGGACACATGGGTAAACTAACACTAACTAACCCACCGACACCGGCCCGACAGGACACATGGGTAAACTAACACTAACTAACCCACCGACACCGGCCCGACAGGACACATGGGTAAACTAACACTAACTAACCCTAACTAACTCACTTAAAGCTTGATTTGAAGCACAGCTCAGGTGTTTGATCAAACATCATCATCAATAACAGCTCATAACTAACATATGAGGAAGATAGGATGCCAGGAGTTCATATTGTGATCAGTCTTTGGAAATCATGCATGTTTTAGCTCAAATTATTTAGTTTGTAGACAAATAGACACATTTTTTAAAAGAAATTAACACTTTTATTCATCGAGGACGCATTAAATTGATCAAAAGTGACAGTAAAGACATTTATAATGTTTCAAAAGATTTCTGTTTCAGATAAATGCTGTTCTTTCAAACTTTCTATTCACCTGTGAGTCCTGAAAAATAAAATGTATCACGGTTTCCACAAAAATATCGGGCAGCACGGTTAATGTCAATGTTTTTCTTGACTCTCTGTTCATTCCTCTAATGGCGATTGAATGAGCTGATGTCTATAAACTCATCAGCTATCAGCTCATTCCATGCAGGAAACCATGGTAACATTACCGTGTTTTACCGTGTTCTGCTTCTCTCTCTGTTCATGCTTTCTCTGGATCAGACTGATTTCACAGACACTGCTGTCGATGGAGAATTAACGGCCACCGAGGTTTGTGATCTGAGCTCGTTTCTCATCTGACCTCACATAATAACGACAGACGTGATCAGATCTCTGATGTCAGACTGAAGACTCGTGCATGGCAGAAAAAACATGAATGCAATGAACGATTACAGTAATTAGATTGCTAATTAAGATACGGCAGAGCTGTTGATGCTCTTATTAAACTTTAATCTGATAATGGCCAATAATCATAATTGTTCTTCTGGAGACGGAAACATTAAGCCTGTGATGTTAATGAGTTCAGCCTCCTGTTGATCCCAAACGTCTCATTCCTTCATATCAGTGTCATAATTTCACGCTTTTCGTGTCTTTTGTGCAGTCGGATCAGGAGGACGACTCTGAAGCAAAGACGCTGGTAAGATTCAACAGTCTCTACTTAAATATTAAAACACTTTTTTCCTCCTAAATGATTTTTCAAAATTGTAAATAAAGATTATTAGATTCTGTTTTACAAGAAAATACTCTTTTAGTCTTCCATTACTTTGTTAATTATTATTTGTGAAATTTACTAGTGGTTTCTGAGTGAAAATTGCTTCAAAAATAAATGCTATATCATTTTTTTTTAGTGTACACTGAAAAAAATAGAAACAATTTTCACTCAGAAATCACTAGCAAATTTCACAAATAATTACAAAGAATCAGCAAGTAACACATTGAATTACATATGAATTTTTGCAGTGGTATTTTCTTGTAAAATGTTCTCCAATTATATATATTTATATATTTATTGTATTTTTTAATGATAATATTTTATTAATAATAGTAATATAATAATATATAAAAATATTTTTAATAAATATTTAAATATAAAAATATTTTTTCATAAAAATATTATTTATAAACAATTTATAATTACAACCTTTTTCATTGTAGTGCTGAAAAGCTTCTGATTGGTCAGTCCAGCGATCTGAATCTGTCTATACAGTGAACGCAGTCACTCTTTATATTCTCAATATAACTGTATAGTTATATATTGTTTATATACAGTATCTGTGGTGTCGAATCATATATGTGCGTCTGAGCGTTTACTGACAGACCCTGAGAGAGTGTGAGATGTGTGTGTTTCACCACAGTGACGTTACACAGCCACACAAGACTTTTACAAGAAAATACTCTTTTAGTCTTCCATTACTTTGTTAATTATTATTTGTGAAATTTACTAGTGGTTTCTGAGTGAAAATTGCTTCAAAAATAAATGCTATATCATTTTTTTTTGTGTACACTGAAAAAAATAGAAACAATTTTCACTCAGAAATCACTAGCAAATTTCACAAATAATTACAAAGAATCAGCAAGTAACACATTGAATTACATATGAATTTTTGCAGTGGTATTTTCTTGTAAAATGTTCTCCAATTATATATATTTATATATTTATTGTATTTTTTAATGATAATATTTTATTAATAATAGTAATATAATAATATATAAAAATATTTTTAATAAATATTTAAATATAAAAATATTTTTTCATAAAAATATTATTTATAAACAATTTATAATTACAACCTTTTTCATTGTAGTGCTGAAAAGCTTCTGATTGGTCAGTCCAGCGATCTGAATCTGTCTATACAGTGAACACAGTCACTCTTTATATTCTCAATATAACTGTATAGTTATATATTGTTTATATACAGTATCTGTGGTGTCGAATCATATATGTGCGTCTGAGCGTTTACTGACAGACCCTGAGAGAGTGTGAGATGTGTGTGTTTCACCACAGTGACGTTACACAGCCACACAAGACTGAATGAATGAATGAGTGAATGGATCTGTGTTTCCTTCAGCCCAGGTTCATAAGACGAATTAAAGGAGAGAATGTGTTTGTGAGACACAGTAAGCGGATGCTAGAGGTTGGTAAGGAATCGCTGGTCGCTGCATAGACGTGTTTTAACTCTATGCTGCTGTGATTTATTCCAGCAGCACTAATGTGTGTGTTTTGATTGCATTTATTTCTTTTCATAAGGCGAACTAAAGGAGTGACTGTGTGATGGTTTGATTGCATCAGATTCTCATATGTTCACTGAATTAAAGACAGTGCAGTGTTTTATTGGTAAAGGAGTTTATTTTGAGTGCTCGCTGAGGTTTGTGTTGTACTTGCGCTAGTCCTAATCTGGTTAACCCTCTGCTGCTGTTTGGTCATTTTAGACCGAAATAGAATTTTTTACTTCATCGGAAATGGTACGAAACTTGGTAAGGGTTTTGGCACTTGCTATGTGAACACTATAAATATATATGTGTGTTTGTAAATAAATAGTCACACTTGCACCGTTCGCTGTCAAAAATGATCACATTGGAAATGAATGGAAAACAAAGTTAATCTAGTGGAAGCGTTTGGTACTGCGCCTAAACAAAATCTTACTGAAAGCTAATTTTTTTAGATATCAACCTCAAATTTGAAACACAGCTTCTTTAGATTTATACCTTCGATTTTCTCACAGTTTTAGGGTAAAACGTGTTTTGAATGATTGATTTTTGTGCATTTTTAATAATAATACATTTCTAAACTTCTAAAACTTTTTTTTCTTTAACTTTTGTCACTTCAGTAATAATCTGCCAAGTGTCTTCTTTAAAAAGGGATCGATCTTAAGTGCTCTTAAGTGATCGAGCTTTGTGCTCCAAAGCAGTCGAGTACAGGTAATAAATGGATCATAACTGGTCCATAAATAAAATTTTTAAATCTCCTAAAAATGGTAAATATTAAATTAAAAAAAATATCAAACTAAAATATAGTACGTTCATGTCATAGAAAGAAAGATCAGTAATTTTTGAGCGAGCAGCACCAGAGCCTGGAATACGGACGAATCTCTGCTTGTTGTGTTTGTTCAGGAGATCGAGCAAACGCCTGACGAGCTGCTGAAGCATCAGACCGACATCAGCGAGCTGAAGCGCACGTTCCTGGAGGGAGGACCGGAGCGCACGGGGCTGACCGAGTGGGAGAAGCGTCTGTCCTCGTCTCCGCTGCGGTCTCCACGTCTGGACGAAGCGCCCATGATCGAGCCGCTGGAGCCGGACGAGGTGAGATCCACATCTTCTGCAGCTAAAGTGGGTTCTTCTGAGTAATTTCTGTAATTGTGGCTGTTTTTAAAAGAAGCCGTTCTTTGAAATGGATCTGAATGGAGCCGCTTTAGACGAGAGTGACAAACCATTTGCCGTCGACAGAAATCCTCTTATTGATTTTGTTTTTGTGGCTGCAGTAAAATCAGAGTTCATCCGCTCCAGAAACACTCAGGGATCCGGCGTTTAGCTGCTCTAAGCACTTCAGATCAGGGAAAGTCATTATGTGCCGCTTACATAAAACCAGACAGAGGGAAAGAAGGGACAAATCCTGTCCTTGATCAGCATCTGTGTGTTGTGCTTCTGAAGAATTCTCTCAACATCCTTCTGAATTGAGGAGAATTATTTTCATAAGAATTGTTTTCGAAGAATGTGGCACTAATTTTATTTGTAACATTTTTTGAGTGGTCAGAGATACTGTATATATGTGTGTGTGTGTGTGTGTGTGTGTGAGTGTGTGTGTGTGATAGAGAGAGAGTGTGTGAGTGTGAGTGTGAGTGTGTGTGAGTGTGTGTGTGTGTGGAAGAAAAAATAAATTTTATGAGATTTATTTTATGTATATATATATTATAAAACTCACATTTATATATGTATTTATTTAAAATGTATTTTATATTTATTTACATATATAATTATTTTTGAGTATTATGTTTAATATTTCATATATTTCATATATTTCATTTATTCTTTTATATATTATATTATATTATAATTTTTTATATATATATTACATTTTCCATATATTATTTTTATGTAATTACCGGTAATTAAATTTTTTCCAATTTCATTATTATAAATCTCACAAAAAATATTTCTTAATTTATGTAATTTCTGTAGTACTTATATGATGATCAGAACTCCTTGCTATGATTTTTTATAATCAATTATTATTAAAGAAAAATAGCATAACACGTTTTTGCAAAGACTGCCTTTTTAAATGTCTTATTATGTATCTTTTTAAGTGTTATTTATTTATATCGTATAATATATTATCTATATATAATCATATATTATATATATTATAAACCTCACATTTATTTATTTAATTTTTACATTTCTTGCAGCCATTTATGATCAAAACTCCTGGTCATGATTTTTGTGTTTTTAACTTAATTATTATTAAACATAATTGTGATCTGGATGTTCAGCACAAGCACAAACTGGTTATTAACTGTTAAACAGAAAGTCCCACACTGCAAATTTTTTTTTTATTTTTGTCTTGTTTTCCATTTAGAAAAATATCAAAAAAAATTTGACAATTTTTTTCTCATTTTAAGCAAGAGCTAACAAAATGTTGATAACTTTTTCAGAAAACAAGACTTAATATCTTAATAAACAAGACAAAAATACTAAATGGAAAAATCCTTTTTTGTAGTGCATTCACAACTCAACCATTGTTTTTGTTCATCTCTGTTGCTTCAGGTCAAACAGGAAGCAGCGGTGGAGTCACAGGAAGTGACCGCAGCAGCAGCAGCAGCTGTGGAGCCGCAGGACGGTCTGACGGTTGATGTGGTAGGTGATCCATTCGTCACATGATCTTCAGACTCCTCATCAGATCCTCATGCTCATGATGAATGGTGTGTGTCATTGAGCTCAGCAGCATCCGTCTGTGTGTCCGTCTTCATGGATCAGGCGTGACTAACGGTGCTTTAACTCCAGCCTGCTAACATGATCTTTGTGTGTTACATGTAGGAGTCTGACGGGTGGGTCATTATAAACAAGGTTCCTCCGTTTGAACCAGATAAACGTCCTCCAGTCGGAGCTGAAACGCTTTCTCGTAAGATACCAGAGAAGGTTTCCACCGTAGTAGAAGAACAACATCCTCCAGCGGAACCCGAAAAACCATCTTCCGTCACATCTGAAGAGGTTCCTCCAACAAAAACAGCTTCGGAGACATCACAGAAGGTTTCTAGCATAGTACAGGAGACGTTTCCTCCAGAAAGACCCTCATCCGTCGGATCCGAAGAGGTTTCGCCAACGAAGACTCCTCCGAAGGTGCCAGAAAACATTCCTCCAGTGGAACCAGAAAAACCATCTTCTATCACATCCGAAGAGGTTTCTCCAAAGAAGACTCCTCCGAAGGTGCCAGAAAAGGTTTCTACGGTAGTCAGAGGGAAGGTTGAACCCATAAAGGTTCCTTCTGTTGGTTCTTCAGAAGACGCTCCTCCTAAAGTACCCCCAAAAGTCCCTCCGAAGGTTCCAGAGAAGAAACACATCGCCAGCTACAGGTTCACATCCGCCGAGCCTCCTGAAGACAAGCCCAGATCTCAAGAAGGCTTCTCCGTTGTGTCCGAGCAGATCAGTAAGATGCGTCTCCGCTCTCCTGTGGACCTCAGCGGAACGTCTCCGACGGCTCGAGTGGTAGGATTTCCCGGCGTCTCGCTCGTCCTCGGCCTGGCTTTGAGATCTCCAGAGCTCCACACGCGCTCCTGATTTGAGTTCGGTTGTTTTGTTCTGACACGAATCCCTCCGGCTGTGATTTGCTGTCGCTGCTTGTTGTTTTGAGCCCCTTCTCACCGACCCTGAGAGCAGGAGCCCGTTTTCTTTATTATTTTGGAGAATGCCGCTGCTTTGCTTTAGTCACGACTGAGGAACGAACACATCTTTGTCTTGCGCTCTGCTTGCTGCTGGATAGCAGGGTTTATTCATAAGAGAGTCTCTTTTATCTTCAGAGATCACGAGTCAAACGGCTGCAGAAGCTCTTCAATATACATGACCGTGATTTCATTCATCTCGCTGCGAAAAAACAAACAAGCAAGATTTTCTTGCTTAGTATTTTTGTCTTGTTTTCCAGTACAAATATCTGAGCATTCTTAAATCAGAATACGTTTACTTGAGCAGCATAACCACATTTGATATTAGGTTAAATCAATCCCCGTGAAGCTGTGGTTTACAGTGAGTTTATAACAGCGTTGTTAGATACGACATGAAGCGGAGTTATAAATTCCCTTAGCTGTTATGAATTCACTGTAAACCACGGCTTCATGGGGGTTACTGCTTTTATAAAACGGTTATTCCATATACGTAGTAAGGTTTCACAAAATAAAACAGAGCAAATAAAGTGTAATGATATTAATAAACACAGTATTCTTCCACCAAACAATGTAGCTCCTCAGAAACAGTTGTGGTTGCTACAAAGTGGTTGCCGAGCAACACACAAATGTAAACAAAGGTGTGTGTTACTTTGTAGCGTCATTTACAACAGCTTCGAACACGGCTCAGCCAATCAGAATCAAGCACCGGAACTTGATTCAGAAAACAGACTTGACATCTTAAATAATTTTGCATCTCCAGTAAACGTGTCTTGATTTTAGAATGTTTAGAGTTTGCGCGGGATAACAAGACAGAAGTACTAAGTAAAAAATCTCATCACATCCGAAGAGGTTTCTCCAAAGAAGACTCCTCCGAAGGTGCCAGAAAAGGTTTCTACGGTAGTCAGAGGGAAGGTTGAACCCATAAAGGTTCCTTCTGTTGGTTCTTCAGAAGACGCTCCTCCTAAAGTACCCCCAAAAGTCCCTCCGAAGGTTCCAGAGAAGAAACACATCGCCAGCTACAGGTTCACATCCGCCGAGCCTCCTGAAGACAAGCCCAGATCTCAAGAAGGCTTCTCCGTTGTGTCCGAGCAGATCAGTAAGATGCGTCTCCGCTCTCCTGTGGACCTCAGCGGAACGTCTCCGACGGCTCGAGTGGTAGGATTTCCCGGCGTCTCGCTCGTCCTCGGCCTGGCTTTGAGATCTCCAGAGCTCCACACGCGCTCCTGATTTGAGTTCGGTTGTTTTGTTCTGACACGAATCCCTCCGGCTGTGATTTGCTGTCACTGCTTGTTGTTTTGAGCCCCTTCTCACCGACCCTGAGAGCAGGAGCCCGTTTTCTTTATTATTTTGGAGAATGCCGCTGCTTTGCTTTAGTCACGACTGAGGAACGAACGCATCTTTGTCTTGCGCTCTGCTTGCTGCTGGATAGCAGGGTTTATTCATAAGAGAGTCTCTTTTATCTTCAGAGATCACGAGTCAAACGGCTGCAGAAGCTCTTCAATATACATGACCGTGATTTCATTCATCTCGCTGCGAAAAAACAAACAAGCAAGATTTTCTTGCTTAGTATTTTTGTCTTGTTTTCCAGTACAAATATCTGAGCATTCTTAAATCAGAATACATTTACTTGAGCAGCATAACCACATTTGATATTAGGTTAAATCAATCCCCGTGAAGCTGTGGTTTACAGTGAGTTTATAACAGCGTTGTTAGATACTACGTGAAGCGGAGTTATAATATATACCCCCTTAGCTGTTCTAAATTCACTGTATATAACGGCTTCATGGGGGTTACTGCTTTTATAAAACGGTTATTCCATATACGTAGTAAGGTTTCACAAAATAAAACAGAGCAAATAAAGTGTAATGATATTAATAAACACAGTATTCTTCCACCAAACAATGTAGCTCCTCAGAAACAGTTGTGGTTGCTACAAAGTGGTTGCCGAGCAACACACAAATGTAAACAAAGGTGTGTGTTACTTTGTAGCGTCATTTACAACAGCTTCGAACACGGCTCAGCCAATCAGAATCAAGCACCGGAACTTGATTCAGAAAACAGACTTGACATCTTAAATAATTTTGCATCTCCAGTAAACGTGTCTTGATTTTAGAATGTTTAGAGTTTGCGCGGGAAAACAAGACAGAAGTACTAAGTAAAAAATCTCTTGTATCTTCTACAGTATGGTCACTGATATTTTAGTTGTCTGAGTTAGTCGTGTAGTTATTCGTTATTCAAGCACTAGTCTGTGTATCATGGATTCTGTGAAAACATTGCTCTCACTGGTTAAAGGTTTGTCCTCTAGCGCCACCTGCTGGTCATCATAACACTGGAGTAGATTCACTGCAAAAACATGTTTTTATATGTCTGTTTTATATTGGCCTGGTTTCACAGACAGGGCTTAGACTAAGCCAGGATTAGGCCATAGTTCAATTAGGACATTTAAGTAATTTTTATAAATGCGCCTTAGAAAAAACATAACTGGTGTCCATCTTGAGACATGATATATTTTAAGATCGTGTGTGTGTGTGAGAGAGAGTGTGTGAGAGAGAGTGTGTGTGTGTGTGTGTGTGTGAGAGAGTGTGTGTCTGTGTGTGTGTGTGTGTGTGAGAGAGAGTGTGTGAGAGAGAGTGTGTGTGTGTGTGTGTGTGTGAGAGAGTGTGTGTCTGTGTGTGTGTGTGTGTGTGAGAGAGAGTGTGTGAGAGAGAGTGTGTGTGTGTGTGTGTGTGTGAGAGAGTGTGTGTCTGTGTGTGTGTGTGTGTGTGAGAGAGAGTGTGTGAGAGAGAGTGTGTGTGTGTGTGTGTGTGTGAGAGAGTGTGTGTCTGTGTGTGTGTGTGTGTGTGAGAGAGAGTGTGTGAGAGAGAGTGTGTGTGTGTGTGTGTGTGTGAGAGAGTGTGTGTCTGTGTGTGTGTGTGTGTGTGAGAGAGAGTGTGTGAGAGAGAGTGTGTGTGTGTGTGTGTGTGTGAGAGAGTGTGTGTCTGTGTGTGTGTGTGTGTGTGAGAGAGAGTGTGTGAGAGAGAGTGTGTCTCTGTGTGTGTGTGTGTGTGTGTGTGTGTGAGAGAGAGTGTATCTCTCTGTGTGTGTGTGTGTGTGTGTGTGTGTGTGTGTGAGTGTGTGCCTCTGTTCAGCTGAAACAGCTCAGACTTACATTTTAGTCTGGGACTACCTTGTCTGT